GATGGGCGATGGTCGAAATAATCGATGGACATCGAGCGGACTCACTGTCGCATCGTTATAAAAAACATAAATCAGTGGTCCTCCTCCGCAGTCACTCCTCGTTTTTTCTTTCCCTTGTTTTTTGACGGAAAGCTTGTGCAAGATAGTAGATACCGCACTGAAAGAGAGTATTTCTTATTCGCACTTCTCCGCACCGTGCCGGTTGGAATTCTAGTGGTCAAGCGTACTACTAGTCTACTACTAGCTGTTTCTGGATTTCTCCGATAGAGTCCCCCAGATTGGATTGAATGAGTGAACGACTCTTATGTGTAATTTTAGTCCCCTAATTAGCTCCCCCGATATGTTCCATTAACTTCCATAGGGTCGGATCTGCTTTTTATTTGAAAGCTGAACCTCAAAAAATTAATGGCATTCTAGATACTATTCGTTTTCATTCATTCGCGCGCTTTCCAGACCGTGCTGATATCAGTCTTCCTCTATAAAATTTGAACGTAGAGTGCAGATAGATATACGACCAGCTGAGGAAAGTTCCCAGTCTGAGTTCTCTCAGAACTTAGAAGAAATCTGTTTTCCCCCCTTTTTAGTTGCCGGGGGGGGGGCGGGAGACGGGGAATGAGCGTGGCGGTCGTTCAAGCCAGCCCAAGCCCCAAGGTGCAAGTCATGGTGGGTCTGAGTTCACACACGCGCAGTGACATGACCATGACAGGTGGTACCTCTGACTCTCGTTCGTACGGCCTCTGACCGTTTCCGTACAGTACGAGGAGGTAGTGGGTCTTTACCGCCTTTGACTTTGACTTTGACTTTGTGTTTGGAATTGGAATTGGAATTGGAATTGCAGTGAGGGCCTGAGAGGGGTAGTAAGTAGTGAGCTAGGAATACCTAGGAAGGACATTGAAAAGGCAAAATTTAATGAAAAAGACATCACACATCGAGGATGATGGCGACCTCCGCACACAGAAACTGCCAACTGCCAACTGCCGACTGCCAGCTGGCAGTTGGCAGATCCAGGGTTCGAGTCCGCGACTGGAAAGTCCCGAGGAGGAAATCGAATTGAATTTCATGTTGTTTGAACTTTGAACTTTGAAGGTGTTTCATCATTCAATGTTCTATTGGCTGGAGCAAGCCGGCGGGCGGCCATTGCAATTTCAAGCTCGAGGCGAGGCGTCTGCCTGACGACAGCAACGTGATGATGTGAGGGGTTCGATCCGCTGAAGTTGAGCTTGAGAGAGAAAGTTCGGTGACGATGAGCTTCGAGACAAAGGTTTTCGAAGGATTAAAAAAGCGTCCTCGCGAACGGTAGAGATCTTCTTACTGACGACAGTGAGGAGAGGTTCAGATGCTTCAGAATCTCTACCCCCATTCAACCCCTTTACTAGAGAGAGAGAGAGAGAGAGAGAGAGAGAGAGAGAGAGAGAGAGAGTCTCTACACCCCCCCCCAACACCGCCGGCACTGGCGAGGCAGCCGAATTAGTTAATTCATTGCCAGTCTCTGATCTTCAAGCCTTGGCGCTATTATGGGGAATATATGGGCCAATCTTTCGCGCGTCTTTTCGGCTTGGAAATTTGCACGGATTGCTCTTCGTTGCAAAAAGTTGTAATGAGTCTAATTTCTATTATTATGGGAGTCGATTGGCATTGAAGTGAAGGGGATTACGTTTTCTCGTCGTTGTCGGCTCGCTGGTGTGATCATATACGTCTATGGCTTCTCTACCCACCCACGAGTTTCGTAATATTCTCTCGCATTGTTTCGGTTTTGTGGAAATTGTTGTTTTGCGCTTCAAGCCTTAACACGAAACGGGTGTTTCCACCAGCTGAGAACGGCGTTCAGCTGACAATACAACTGGACCCCTCTCTCTCTCTCTCTCTCTCTCTCTCTCTCTCTCTCTCTCTCTCTCTCTCTCTCTCTCTCTCTCTCTCTCTGTGTGTGTGTGTGTGTGTGTGTGTGTGTGTGTGTGTGTGTGTGGGTCAAACTTTCCTTCTCCTGTTTTCTTCCCGTCTCTGCGTTCTTCTGTGTCGTTCTCCCTGGCGTTGTATACACTACTGGGCACTGTGTCTGCTTTTTAGACTTTCGGGTTTGATTTTCTTTTGTTTTGTTTTTTTAAGACATAAAGAGTTGATTACGGGCCCAGCCGGCCAGTTTCGGAATTTGTTGTCCTTCCGTCTGAACTGGCCGGGCCCCACGTAAATCAGAAGAAGGATGTTTTTCTGCTCATCTGATTGCATCTGCGTTCGAACTTCTATCGCTATAATTTCCTCTTTTTTTATTATTTTTGAAAAAAAAAATCTTTTTTATGCGTGTCAACTATTCATGGTCATACCAACTGAGCAATGCCCTTGGGTGTCCTTTCGTTTACACTACTCCGTGGGCTGCTTGGTTTGTCTCGTTTTTTTGGGGAAAAAAATAAACTTTGATTACCCATGAAAGGAGGCCGGGAATTCCCGTGCTCGACGGAAACATCAAATGTGCCTCGCAGGGCATACTCACACGAGCAATCTTTTCCTTATTTCTGGACGGTTTTGCGGCCAGATGCATACAAGTCCGGCCGTAAATGCCGTCAGGTGCATTTCTGATTGTGGTAGTGTGAGTACTCCCTCCATCCCCTTTTCCGCCTCCGGGTGTTGTCGCCAGATGAGAACGGCGTAGTGCCTGTTCGGATCAGATTAATATTTTTTTGTTTTTTTTTTTGTTTTTTACAGATCAGATTAATATCTGATCCATGGTCCATCGGACCATTTTAGAAAAGAAGAAGAAAGAAAAAAAAAAAAAAAAGGTGCCCTGCCCGACGGTGACACGCAAAAATCGAGAAATGGTCCTTGAAAGGCGTTTTTTTTTTTTGGGGGGGGGGGGGGGGGGGGGGGTGAAGAATAAAAGGACCTGGGCAATCTAACGATTCAACCCCAAGTCTAGCCTGTGCCAACTAAGCGCTCGACATCAGCCACTGCTCTATCACTCACTGTCTCAGGGCGCCTCTCTTCCGAACGTATCTGACCGTAATTACGGCCGGACACGTGGATGCATCCGGCTGCGTTCCGTCCAGAAATAAGTAAAAAGGTCCTAGACTAAGTGTGAGTGTGCTCTCACAGTCACTACCTTCCCATCTCGAGCAACTCCGCCAGAGCAAGATGATTCCTCTTTGCACGACCTCGCCTGATCGGCCATAGCTGTTTCTTGTATTCTTTTGCTTTGAAAAGGGCAACGGCCTTCAGATATCATCATTGAACTGATCGGCCTGAGGCAATTCAGAAAAAAAAAAAAAAAAGACAGTCCCTCCAGTGCTAGTGATGCTGTCGAGGGCGGACACGGCTAACTTCAATCTGTATTAAATTTCAAGTTTCAACAATTCAGGGGTGTACCAACTGAGCTGGGTCCATTGGTTGCAACCATAGGTGGTGTTTTTTTTTTTTTTTTTTTGGTTACCGTAGCTGTTTCCGTGTCCCATGCCCACTAGGGCCACTACCTTCCCTGCACCTCAGCGTGAGTCAGACCGCAAATGCCCAAAACCTGGGGGGGGGGGGACCACAACAAATCCGCCGTTGCAAGCCCGGGTCAAGTCACCAAGATTAAGGGCGTAATAACAGTAGGACTTTGGGGGATACAATCAACGCTTGAAGATGTCGTCTCCAATATTATTATCAATACAACACCAGAATGTTTGTCTCCAGTGGCTCTGCCACACACACACGCACAACAGATCTCAACCAGATAGCGGCTATGACTTCTCTCCCCTCTTCTCTCTCTCTCTGACTTGACTCGCTCTGCCTCACTCTCTTTCTTCTCTCTCTCTCTCTCTCTCTCTCTCTCTCTCTCTCTCTCTCTCTCTCTCTCTCTCTCTCTCTCTCTCTCTCTCTCTCTCTCTCTCTACCCTGGATCGTCACCCTGGATACACCCACTCAGGTAGCTAAGCCGTAGCTTACACCTTGGCGGCTATGGCCGCCATCCTCCTGCTCTACCACTAGCCTAGCTATGGAGTATCTCTCAAGCGCCCTCTTCTTCTTCGGGCGCACAGTGCCCAAGTTGCCTTAACGCACAAAAAAAGCAGCAGCAGCGCTTCCTCATCTCGCAACTGAACAAGTGATGAGCCACAACACTGTAGCTGCTAAGTATAGGACTTGGCTTTGCTGGGCCTGGCTTGGCTTGGCCTGCTTCAGACTGGTACCTGTGGGCCGCGGCCTGTCTGCTGCAAACATGTACCGGTCGGCCGCGGCCTCTCTGCTGCAAACAATGCCAAACATTTTGTCTGTCGGGTAGCTTCCGGACTTTCCTGGGACACGCTGCAAAATTGGACTTGGGACTGTCGGACTGGACTGGACGCTTCTAAAAATGATAGGTGGTCCAGTGTTCTGTGAGTAGGAGTAGACTTCTCTCCTACCCCTCTCGATAGGCAGACTGGGTACTGTCATGTGGGAAGTGGCTATCTGCCACATCAGATTGCAAGTACCAGGCAGTGTAAGAATGATATTGAGCATCTACAGGTCCTGTTGAGCCCAACAGAAAGAAACATTTGAACGAAGTATTCCTGCCTGGTTGGATAAGTAAACCATCTGAATCTGATCTTCTGCGCTGTACTCCATACCTGCATCGGACAACCCGCGAGTTAGTATAAAAAAAAAAAACAAAAAAAGTCATATATCAAGGGAAACAAGACATTAGAATCACATTGCCTAAAAGCCTGATCCAGGGAGCCAGACAGCATATCAAAAGAAAAAGAAAGGGTATACATACCTAAACAGTCACTTTGTTTTAGTTTGATCTATTGTTTCATCTACGCAGCACCTTCTACAATCAAAAAAAAAAAAAGTACAGTACTCCATTCACCGCAGATCAGGAACTGAGTCCGTAAGTGGAATAGTACCTTGGTGATCCGGCGGAAGGTCCCCTGTGTCGGTAGTCATCATGGATGACTATCCCATCCAGGGCCTGTTGGCCCTTTCTTTCCTATTGGGCCCAATATTCCGGCTAATGTTCCCGTTGGGATTCGGACGCATCCGCACGTCCCGCATGTTATTGAATTCCGGAACAGTAAAGCCTGGGCCCACACCTGCGGAGCAAGCCGAAATTGACCGCAGGCTGGCAGAGAAGAAGAAGGAAAAGGAAGCCAAAAAGAAATAAAAGGAAGAAGAAGCAAAGAGAAAAATGAAAGAGAAGATGGATAAGGAATTGGAAGAAGAGTTGAAAAGTATACGAGAAGAAGAAGAAGAAGAAGAAGAAGAAGAAGCAGAAGAAGAACAGGAAGAAGGAGAAGTCTTGCAAAAACGTCGTCACCTTGATATTCCGGAAAGTAGTACAGCACAACCGCTTCCTGTTGAACCGCTGGATTGGGCTGGATAGTACTACTATTCCAGCGAGCCACTAAAAAAATCTGATGAAGAACGGGATTCTGTAATCGCCAAGTTGGCCACAATAACAGATACCGTTGAACGAAATCTGATGTTGGAGGAGAAAAGGGCTGAACTAAATCACAGGCTGTTGTCTGCTAGACGGCAAGAGGTAGAAGAGAAAAAGAAACTGCATGCGGAGGGGGGAAAATTGCAGAAGGCTTTAGAAGCGCAAAAAGATAAACCCTCTGCAACAGAAGAACAGCTTGTTCTCCTCAGAGAGGCAGTCCTTAACACAAGGCAGGACATGGCCTTGATGCGCCAGACCCTACAAAGAGTAGAAACGCATCGGGTTGAGTTCGAAAATGTTTGGAACAACTTCTTGGAAAAGTCAGCCAAGGATGTTGACCAACATGTTCAAACCTACATCCGGGCCTTGGACGAACATGTTACTAAGACATTCACCCCGGAAGTCATGAAGAAGATTGTGAAGGAGCTGGAGAAGGAGGAGGAGATGGTGATGACGACGGCGATGATGACAAGAAAGGGAAGAAGAAGATTAGGGATCCAAAGGAAAAACTTCCTCAGAAAACCGGGCAGGTTAACAAGATAAAACTTAAACTGCCGTGGACCTATAATGGAAAGAAGGAGGAAAGTGTTCTGCATTGGGCGACAGCAATTGAAACATATGTGTACGGACAACGTATTCCATACTGGGACAGGGTATTGATGGCAACTTCATGCATGGGAGGCGACGCCATGAGCTTTGCTATCTCGCTGCAAATGGAGGCGGGATGCAACTCGATGGTGGAGTATTCGCAGCAAACAAGGATCAAAGATTTTCTTAAATTGATTAGGGAAAGATTCGAGGATAAAAATTTAGCAAAACGCACTGAGATGTTGATCCTCAGCCTTCCTGATAGGAAATGGAAAAGTACCTCT